TTATTATTATTATTTAAATACATGACATTATGAGATATTAATAATCATTATAATTACATAGAGGTAGTAGTAGGTACACCAATATTTAATGTGCAAATACCATGGAAAGTAGAAAGGTGAGAAGATGAGGAAGATAAAACATCCACAATAAATTATCATAACACTCCTCTCTTGGATGTTCACATTTTATTATACATTTGTTAAACTGTCTTATTAAAAATCTTGTTAAGAAAAAAAACTCAATAAAAAAAAAAATCATGGTGAAGGGAAAAAGAATAAAATGCGTGTAATACGTCCCTTAAATTCAATGTATATTCATAATTAGACAATTGATTCTAATCTAGTGTCTTAACTGCTCAAAATTCTAGAAAAGAAAAATTTTCAAATATGTGTTTTTTTACTACATAAGGGATATAACATAAGAGAATTTTGTACTATTCTCATTCATGGGTTTAATATGATAACTATTACATATTTGTACCTATAAAGTTTAGTAAATTCAAATATAATCTATTAAAACACATAATCACATACTTAAAAATATTGTTTCCCCAAACTACAAGATTCAAGCTTTTTAAGAGCCTTTAATGCTAAATAAAACTTAGGCTTTTCAACAATAAAAAATATTCAAGCTCTTCAAGAGCTTTTAATAATAAACAATATCTAAGCTCTTTGGACTTTTTATCAAGCTTATAATATGAAGTATCACATTAGTTTCAGGTTGAGTGTAACAGGGAAAAGTTTTTTTTTTCAAGATATTTCATATGGCACAGCCTTTTGCATATTAAAAAATGACATACAATTTTTCAAGTTCTATTCTCCACCATTATACATTTTATATAATAAGGATGCATGTATGCCACATTTTGTTTATCATAGGGGCACCATTATATTTTCATTGTATTGTAGAAGTACTTTACACAATTTCAATTTTTCATTATTGATTTCATTACTGTAATAAGGATGGCCCTTTTTAAAGTATTTCTCTATTAATATGTAACATTCATATTGAGAGATATTAATTGAGATTAATATGAATTTCAAATTTTGGTATATAAATTTCTCATATGACAAATGTTATTATAAAATTTATGTCCATTCATAGATGCATTCTTGCATCTTGTTTTCTCATTGGAAATGAATTATTATTATAGACTTGATCTTAGAGAGTTCTCCTTTTAATTCACAAGTCCTACATTGGGATGTATATTTGATTTCTCAAGTCTTTGAATTACTTTTACCTAGTATTCTCAAAATGGATATGAGATATTCATGCTTAAAATTGTGTGTCATAAATATCACAAATGCATATCTATATTATTGTTTTCCACAAAATTTTGTTTTTGCATCTTTTCCCTTCTCATTAAGTAAAGCTTGGAACAAATCAAGTAAATACTTGGAAATATATGATAGGCACATGAATTGTTTTAATATATTAAAAACATGTGACCAATGTTTATTCATGTCACATCTAATAATTCTCAAATTCATTATCAACTTATTTTACAAATATTTTCATTTTTGCACAATTTCATTTTTACAACCATATTTATAACAATGATTATAGTACGATATCCCATTTTCT